AGGTAGTCATGCCAAGCCCAACCAAACTGAGTCATCATAATGTGAGCTGGAGTGATCTGCACCTGGTTTTGATACAGCGAAGTTATCATGGAAACACTCTCTGATGCTGGATGATGCCAAGCAAATACTTGCAAAAGACCGTAAACTAAGTATTTAAATAGGCAAATGTTAGAGCACATGCAGGTCGGGGCAATCTTCTATTAGCATACATTTAGGAATTAGAAATATGAAGATCCTGACATTTGGGGATTTAGAAATTGAAAAAATAAATTACCAAAAGTAAGTTATGGCCAATTAACATTTTAAGACAAAACTCACCACTGAATTTACATATGGAAATTGTTTAATACTAACTGGGAGGGCAACTGACTCATTCATTGTATTACCAAAACATTGGATTCCACAAGTATTCAGCCAAATTGGGTGTGTCTGTAGCTTGGGGATAAGGACAGTCCTGACTGGTGATTTGCAAACTTTAGCCTAGCATCTCATCACGTGGAGGGCCTGTTAAACCGCAGGTGGCAGAGCACCCACCCTTAGTTCAGTAGGTTCCAGGTGAGCTTAATAGTTTGCATTTAGGCCCAGATAATGCTGAAATTGCTTATGCCTGGACCAAAGTTTGAGAATCAATGGAGCTGAGACTAAAATTCCTTGATTTTATGGCCCCATCTGATCTACCTTTCTAAAACTAGTATACTGTAAGAAAAAAACAATGTTTGGGGGTAAACAGTACTGTACAATTTGGAAATACTTAATACAGAGGAACTCAAATGGTGGATAATCTGATCCCGAGAGCAAAATTTACTATGTAAAACTATTGGTGGTACCAGGAAAGAATGGGAGAAAAATGGAGATACAGAAACACCTGGTACTGATATTTAAATGAGAGAAACCCTAGTTACAAATCATCTTGCCCCAAAAGCTGCCTCTAATTATTAGATAGTGACCGCACCTGTGCATAATCCAGCTTTTACAAAATATGGAACAGGATTATTTAATATCTAACACTGCTATATTGAGTATCTAGTGTTTCATAAGCTGAATCAGAGGATGATGTAGGGGAAGGATGAGAGAGAGAAAGAAAAAATACCAAGTTAATTGATGAAGATGTGGAGCAACTGGAATGCTCATGCATTGCTGGGGGAAGGTAAACGAGTATGACAACTTGGGACAACCAACAGTGTCCACTAAAGTTGAGCATATCTATATTCTATGACCCAGCAATTCCATCCGCAGGTAATTTACTCAACAGAAATATGTACATATTTATCAAAGGACATATAGTTCAATATTCATAATAGACCCAAATTAGAAAGTACTCAAATGCCCATCAATAATTATTATATAGCAGGGTTTCTCAACCTTGGCACCATTGGCATTTGGGGCTGAAAATGCCTTGTGAGGACTGTGCTGTGCGTTATAGGGTGTTTAGGAGCATCCCTGGCCTCTACCCACTAAAGCCAACAGAATCCTCTGCCTCCCTTACCCCACCTCTGACAACTAAAAATGCCTGCTGATATTGGTCTCCTCTCTATATCACAATGAGAATGAATGAACAAAACAGATGAATTTCACAATGTTGAGCAAAAACAAAACAAACAAAACAAAAAACAGAAGAAAGAGTACATGTTGTATATTTCTATTTACATAAAGTACAAAGACAGTTAAAAGTAATGTATGCTTAGACATCAGGGTAGTGACTACAATACTGGTTGCATGAGTATGTTCACTTTGTGAAAATGCATTAAGCTGAACATGTATAGTATGTGCACTTTTTTTTTTTTTTTTTTGACACAGGGTCTTGCTCTGTCACCAGGGCTGGAGTGCAGTGGTGCAATCATAGCTTACTGCAACCTCAAACTCCTAGGCTTGCGTAATCCTCCTGCCTCTGTCTCCTCAGTAGCTAGGACCACAGGCACTCACACCACCATGCCTTGCTAATTTTTAAATTTTTTGTGTAGCGATAGGACTTATTATATTGCCCAGGCTGGCCTCTAATTGCTGGCCTCAAGCGAGCCTCCTTTCTCGGCCTTCCAAAATGTTGGGATTATAGGCATGAGCCACACTACACCTAGCCAACTTTTGTATGTTTTATTATACTTTACCAAAAATGAATGAATGAATGAGTCATGGTCCTTCTCTCAGAAAAATCTTTTCCAAGGGAGTCTTTAGGTGAGTGGGGATCAGGAGTCCATTTTGAATGATTACTATTTACAGATAGCCCATGTGGCCAAATACTCTGCAGTACTACATACCAGAGGCCCCACCACTTCTTCCTTAAGCAGACTGACAGCTAAGGAAGTCTCCATTCTGGTTCCTCTGACACCAGCCACCGTCAGCCGTGACCTAACCACCTCCTCTTCCTACCATGAGCACTGTCCAGGAGAAAAGGAGCTATGAGAAAACAGGTAGTTAAAGCTTAAGTCAAAAACCTGTTCTGTGTAATCCTAGCACTTTGGGAGGCTGAGGCGGGAGGCTCGCTTAAGGCCAGGAGTTCAAGACCAGCCTGAGCAAGAGTGAAACCTCGTCTCTACTAAAAATAGCAAGAAATTAGCTGGACAACTAAAACTATATAGAAAAAATTAGCCAGGCATGGTGGTGCATACCTGTAGTCCCAGCTACTCGGGAGGCTGAGGCAGGAGGATCGCTTGAGCCCAAGAGTTTGGGGTTGCTGTGAGCTAGGCTGACGCCACTGCACTCTAGCCCAGGCAACAGAGTGAGACTCTGTCTCAAAAAAAATCAAAACAAAACAAGCCCTGCTCTGAGCCTCATCAGAGCATTGGTGCCTGCCCTTTAAGACACTTATAATCTAGATTATATAAGGACAGGGAGGAGGCTGCACTGACAGGCAGAATGGATGGTAGAATAGGGTCCCAGGGTCCCACTCGGTGATGCTGATAGCTGCCACTGGGGGCTACAATAATCTCCACTTCTCTGATGAGGAAACTGAGACTCAGAAGGTTACTGGTCTTTTTACTACCCGCCCCTTTAACGGCCTGAGGTCACTCAGCTAGAAAAGGCAGACCTGGAACTTGAACACGAGCAGCTTTGCTCCCAAGCTCTTGCTCTTAGTCCCTGTACCAACCTGTGCCCTTTCTGGTAGGGCCAGGAACATCTTGGCATCAGGGCCCAGATCTGCTTCATGGAGAAACCCTGAGATGTAAGGAGAGCTGTGTTCACTTTTAGTTAAGACACACACTTTTTTTTTTTTTTTTTTATGAGACAGTGTCTCACTAGAGTGCCATGGTGTCAGCCTAGCTCACGGCAACCTCCAACTCCTGGGCTCAAGCAATTCTCCTGCCTCAGCCTCTCAGCCTACCGAGTAGCGGGGACTACAGGCATGCGCCACCATGCCTAGCTAATATATATATATAATTTTTTTTAGTTGTCCAGCTAATTTCTTTCTAATTTTTTTAGTAGAGATGGGGTCTCACTCTTGCTCAGGCTGGTCTCGAACTCCTGAGGTCAAATCATCTTTCCCGCCTCAGCCTCTAAGAATGCTAAGATTACGGGCGGGAGCCACTGCGCCCGGCCCCAACATGCCTTTTCTTTTTCTCACATCCAGTCAATCCACATTAATATTGAGAATATGCCTAGGCTAGAAACACTATGAAGTTTCTTTTCTTTTCCCTCCAACTTCTTTATTGCTCAGTAAACCATCAGGACAAACCTTTTTCTTACAGCTCCAAATTCTACCTCTTCAGCCCCCTCTTCCGGCAATCACATTTCTGCATGCTCTGAGCAGTCACAAACAGAAGGCAAGATCCAGGTATGCCTGGCCCCAGGCTGGACTAAAATCCAATCCCTGGCCCTTGACTAATTAACCAGGCAGCTGGAAGTAATCTCAAGGGACAAAGTAGCTGTGTACCATTGCTCCAGCTTCTCTTTCTGCAGAGAACAATTCACCATGCCCAAAGTACCTCTTCCTCTGCTCACACCTGGTACAGCTGGAGCTCAGATTTCGCCCTCCTGCCTCCCGGGCTCCCACCCATCACAATCCTCACAACACCTGCTCTCCTGATCACTCTTCAAAACTTATTTTTAACCTTTCTAATGAAGATGAAGTTGGGGACTATCCAGATGACAATATACTGACACACTATTAAAAGAATTCCATCAAAATCAGTTTTATAAAAAAGTTAAATAATTGCACTGAAAATCATCCATGTGGCCATTTAGATGCCCTCCCCTCTCTCGCTCACCCTGCAAGAGGGCTGATGTGCATGGAGTGTATGGGCTCGGGCTCTGGTCGGGTTTGCCAGTAAGGGGGGAGAGAGAGGGTAAATCTCAGTTTCCTCATTAGAAAAGGGGGGAGCATTGTAGTCCCTGGTGGCAGCTATCAGTGTCATCACTCATACTTCATGGTCCGCTGTTAAATCATCCCTTCCGTTTGCCAGCACGGCCAGCTCCCTCCTCTCAGCTCCTCTATTGCTAGCCACAGCAGCATAGCTGCGTCTTTTGACCCAAGTTTGAAAGTCACAGTTCTTCTCAAAGGGGCCCTCTGTCCACAGCACTTTTTCCAACTACTGCCCACGTCAGGTCTAGAAATAGAAACAGTTTCACTATTACTGGTCCTGGGTATTGCAATATTTCTTATAGTTTCCCTCTACTCTGCCCGCACTTTCAATTGTAGTTATTTTATCAAGCCTGTCTTGATTAGCTTAATTGGACTGTGTTGTCTGTTTCTTGCTGGGGCCCTGGCCAACACAATGGAACATAAAAGATAGCACTGAGAGAATGCTTATAATTATTTCATGTAGATTATCACTGAATGCTCAACCTGGTGAAGTGGGCACAATTATTATTCCCATTTTACAGATGAGCAAGTGAGACTTAAAGAAGTCCAACATATTGCTGGAGGTCATAAAGTTGGCCAGTACTGGAGCTGGGCTTTGAATCTATATAGTCAGGCTGTAATGACCATAGCTTAACTGCCTCCCAGCAGGAATAGATTTATGAAGTTTTCACAATTCTTTCAGAGTTCTTCTCTCTTCCCAAAGCTGCAGCTCAGGTGGAAGGAGTATCAGCATGTGCCAGGGTGGGACTGCAGCTGGGCACCATGGAGCTACATAGACTAGGAATGAAAAAATAAGTGAGTATACTGAGGTTCCTGGGAGCCAGGCTTCTCACTGCTGAAGAAGAAAGTGGAAAGAATAAACCCATGTTGTTGGACTGGAATTGCAGATATCAATGTGGACTTGTGGTTTTTAACATACACTATAAAAGTTAAAATATAGATGTGTTTTTGCATGTGAATGTGTGAGTATGAGACAGTGTGTGAGTTGGAATGTGTGTTTGAGCATACACGTGTGTACAGCAAGCATGTGGCACGCATGTGGACAGACATTTTGTGTATACATGCATATAGATTTTTCCCTGGGTCTAGTATTCAGATTGTGATTTCTAAATACCATGCTCTATTCAATAGAATCAGGGCTGGTTGGAGAAGATGGCAGACTCCAAGCCTGGGCATGTGAAGTACAAGATTAGCTTGGAACACCTCTTGTGCCAAAAACAATGATTGGGACTTGTTGAAAGGATGCAGGAGCCCGCTTGAAGGGGCTCCCACTGGCCACGTCTGGGACAATTAGAGCAACAATGTCAGTAGAAAAGTAATGGACTATAATCCATTGACTAAACTAGGCATCCAAGTCTCTAAGAATATATAAAAATAAACAAACACACAGGGAGGGACAGCTCTTATAGTTGAATGTCAACTAATAAATCTAGAAGGATGAAGTTTAAAAAAATTATGATTTGGTAACTATCACAGTAATAACTGAGTCAGGCAAGAACTATCAATGGGTGGCAAAACTGGGGCGTGAATACTTGATAAACAGGATATCTACATAGTCTTAACGTGTCTTCCCACAAATACCTACTAATTACTTAGTAATAAATACAAAATATTAATACTAACTTTTCAGTGGAGAAATCTGGCCAGGCACCATCTTAAGCAAGTGATAAAAGTTATAATCACTATCGGGGCAAATCCGCATTGTGTGGAAGCCACAGCATGGATTCTGTAGTATCTTTGCCCAAAAGGTATAACCTGAATCTAATCATGAGGAATCATCAGACCTGCACTCCTCAAAGACAGACTGAGAAATTGTCCCAGACTGGAGGGGACTAAGGAGATATGATGGCTAAGTGTAGCTAGAGACACTTTATGATGTTTTTGAGACAGAGTCTCACTTTGTTGTCCAGGCTAGAGTGAGTGCCGTGGCGTCAGCCTAGCTCACAGCAACCTCAAACTCCTGGGCTTGAGTGATCCTGCTGCCTCAGCCTCCCAGGTAGCTGGGACTACAGGCATGCGCCACCATGCCCGGCTAATTTTTTATATATATATCAGTTGGCCAATTAATTTCTTTCTATTTTATAGTAGAGACGGGGTCTCGCTCTTGCTCAGGCTGGTTTTGAACTCCTGACCTTGAGCAATCCGCCCGCCTCGGCCTCCCAAGAGCTAGGATTACAGGCGTGAGCCACAGCGCCCGGCCTTATGATGTTTTCTAACATCTTCTCTTCTCTAGCTGACTTCAAGAACCCAGGTATAACACATACAGCATACAAAGTGTGGTGAGTGACCATTGATGTTAATGGTAAGGCTTCCAGTCAACAGTGGGCTATTAGTAGTTACGTTTTGGGGGAGTCAAAAGTTATACACAGATTTTTCAATTGTGCAGAGGGCAAGTTCCTCTAACCCCTGCATCATTCAAGGGTCAACTGCATTTGTTGGCACCTATAAAAAAAATGGGCAAAGCTGGTCTCAGCAGACAGAGGTATCTGTCTGCCAAGGGGCTCCAACTGTCCTGGGCTTTGCCTGCTGAGGCGCCGTCGGGAGCGACAGGTAGCCAGTCTGCAACCCATTCCCAGCACCTTACACAGGCACGGGCGGAGAAGCTCAGCAACACAGCATAAAGTGTAGCAAGAAAAGAGGCTGCTGGTATAGGAAACAGCTTCAGAACAAGCTGTTATAAAAACACTCCACACACACTGGGAAAAAATCAAGCTGTTTCTAGCTGCCCTCAAAATTAGGCTGCGCTGGGCCCTGCAGACTTCAGAACAACTCTAGGTTTCTATTCTCGGCCCACATCCTGTCAATAGTGACCTATCATCCTGACGGCTTTCATTCCCAACCCTGCTTTTCCCTTTCCCTGCCGTCCTAACTTTCCCCTTTATTGCTTGGAAGCCAGAAAGCAAGGAGAGCCTTGTGCACTGTCCCAGCCCTGGCTTTCACCTGATTTTTGCGTCTGCAGATGCTTGAATCCCACAGACCAGGACTGAACCTCATAAAGTCACAAAAGCAACTAAAAACAGCTTCACATGGCTCATATTTGAATGGAAAAATTCTGCAAGGGTGACTGATTTACCCGCTATAAAAACTGTTATGATTTTTCACCAAGGCTAGAAGAAGGTTAAGATTGCAGCAATTATAGGAATTCGAGGTTCATTTGATTCCTAATATGGAGAAAACTAGAAAGAGATACATGTGTGAATCCTCCAAGGTAAAAACAAATGAGTGTTAAGTCCTGTCAGACAATGTCCTGAACTTGTCCAGCTCAGTAACACAAGAATTAGCATTTGAAGCAGTGGTAATCAGTCAGGAAGATTGGATCAGGCTGTTCTGGTGTGGATTTAAACAACTCCCCCAAGTTTCTAGGAGGTCAGATGGAGACAGCAGACACAAATGAGCTCACAAAAGAAAGGGAGACCACAGCCAAGGGGCAAATACTGTGAAATGGAAGAAACCAAAAAGTAAAAGCCACAAAAGCACTAAGTATGACGACAGGGGCTACAACACAAACCCTTCAGCTCACTGCTTACAAGCAGGGAGGAAGGGAACACAGACTAGAGAGAGGGGATGGAGTTTTATTACAAAGGAGGGAGTTGCAGTCATTTGATTCTTAAAAAGAAGAGGAATTATGGTTTGCATAAAACCATACAAAAGGGATCTAATCACAGTAATTACGTATCAAGATTAAATGGGTTGCTTCATTTTTTAAATGAGACCTAGCTAATTGCTTTGTCACGGGTGAATGAACATTTTGCCCCTGCATTGTGTCCTTAATTCAGTGTTGAACAATTTCATCTTCCAGTTGACCCCATCTTTAATACAAATGTGATCATCTCAACACTGACATTTACTAGCTAGGTGTCCTCGGAGGAGTGACACACACTTTCCCTAGCTCAGTTTCCTCACAGGAATTGTAACAGTACCTAATTCAAAGAAATAAATATCCCAAAAGCGCTTTAGTCCTTTTCTAAGATATACCAAAGGCCAACAAGCACATGAAAAGATGTTCAACATCATTGTTAATTAGGGACATGCAAATCAAAACCATGAAAAGGCACCACTTCACACCCACTAGAAGGGCTCAAATAAAAAACGACAATAACAAGTGTTGACAAGGGTGTGGAGAAATTGAAACCCTCCGACACTTGCTGGTGGGCATGCAAAATGTTGCAGCCCTTTGGAAACCAGTGTGGCAGTTCCTCAAAATGTTGAAACATAGAGTTACCACATGGATCAGACATTTCACTCTTTGTGTCCACTCAGGAGAAATGAAACATGTGTTCCCACAAAGACTCGTTCAGGAATGTTCATAACAGCATTATTCATAATAGTCAAAAGTGGAAACAACCCAAAATGTCCATCAATGGATGAATAAATAAACAAATGTGGTATATTCATACAATGGAACCGCATTCATCCATGGAAGTGTGAAGTACTGATTCATGCTACATATGGATGAACCTCCAAAATAAAACGGTAACTAGAAGGAGGCAGAAAGGAAAGAACTTATAATGTATGATTCGATTAATATGAAATGTCTAGAAAAGGCAAATCCATAGAGACAGAAAAGTAAGGGTTGGGTGTGGAAATGGGAAGTAGCTATAAATGGGCATGAGGTTTCTTTTTGAGGAGATAAAAATGTCCTAAATTAGATTGGGATAAGGTTGCACAAGTCTAAATGTGCTAAAAATCATTAACTTGTACACTTAAAATTAGTGAATTTTATGGCATGTAAATAATACCTCATAAATTTTGTGGTATGTAAATTATACCTCAATAAAGTTGTTACCTTTGGGGGAGAAAAGATAATTATTTCAGTGCCTGGCACTGTAAAAATTTATGTGATGACGGTGATTTACATGCCTTCAGGAAAGGTTGTCTAGTGCCTAATACTGGGGCTCAGAACGTAGCCATAACTCTGTGGATCTGTTGTAAGCTCTGTCAGTGACTTAGATGGTAGAAAATGTCTGGATTTGCATGAAAGCAATACCAGGTTTATTTTATACTAGCAACACACAGTGAATTTAAATTCAATCCAACACCAAGCACTGTGTGGGTTGAGGCTCTGAGGTTCTGTTTTCTGTCAGTACCAACAGATAATTAAACCACAAACCCGAACAGGAAGATAAAGGTTATCAGTGAAGTGAAAACAGCACCTGGGGCACAGAGGGAAAAAACGGTTAGCTCTGCCGGGAAAAGGGGGTTGTCAAAGATCTCTGAGCACAGAACAGCTCAACTGGGCCCTCGAAGATAACTGGGATTTTTCCAGGCAAAGAAAGGCCTAGGGGAAAACTGGCATAAAGGCAAAGAGGTCTATTTGGGGAATAATAATTATGCAGGGAATTCAAGTCAGAGCTAAATAAACCACTTTACATTTTCTAGATATTTTAAATGGAAGCCTCTCAGGGCCAAAATTCCTTTAATTCTTGATTTCACTCTTCTAGACCTGAACTAGAACATACCAACTTCAATCCTCAAAACGCTGAAGAAGGTAATTAATGCTGACCTTAGCAATCAGACGACTGATTCCCACAGGTCAGCCATGCTCCCAAGCCCGTCCTGAGGGATTTAGCCAATGTAGCAAAGGATGCCTGCCCCTTGGGAGAGCCGGTGTGGGTGGGGAAGCGGGGGAGGGGGGTGTTAACATTCCTGCCCTGAGGACTGCTTAAAAGCTGAGCCAGAACTGAAAAATCATAAAATAAACTTTTTGCAAGGCTGAAGGAGAATTTTCTTCATTTGGGAACATTTTACTAAACAAGCAAAACAGTACTATGTTTCTCTCCCGTTCCTTTGCTGCTCCACACAATGCAATAACGGAACCCCTGCGGGAGGCTGGCGGTCACTCCGGTCACGCCCTGCACGTGGTGTGCATGCGGTGGAGAAGGGCGGGGACCAGGGGACCAGGAGTAGAGAGGGCGGAGAGCCACACAAACAGTTAAGATGCAACGGAGGAGGCCCTACGAGAGAAGAAAGAATAACTAGATCTTGGCGAGAACTGATTAGAACAAGCAGCCAAGGTAAAGAGCTTTCCAGAACAAAGGGACCGCACTTACAAGGTTGTGGAGGCCATTTGTCTCCAGACCAGTCTAAAGGGACAGAAACTTGGCTAGGTCAGAGGCTTTTCACTAGCCACGGATGCCACTTCCTAGTACAAGACTACACACAGGTGACATTGCCAGGAAAAGCTATAGCTGTGGCCACACACCCGATTTCTAACAAAAAAGTATACCTCGTACTTTCAAAGCCAAATGTTTGTGGGTTTTGTTTTGTTTTCAGTCGCACATATAATTTTTGTAATACTAACACTAAAAATCTCAGCAATCAACATCTGAGAATTTCACCTGTTCCCTCTCCCTTTTAACATTTAGTAAGTTCCCACAGTGTGCCACGCATAGTTCTTGTA